CTGTGAGAGAATAAATTTCTGTTTGTTAAAGCCATCCACTTGTGGTATTTCTGTTATAGCAGCACTAGATGACCAAGACAGCACCTAACAACAACATCCAGTTTATAATATACAATAACACTTCTCAAAAAGTCCTTTTGCCATTTCTCAATTCTTTCTCATTTTTTTAACTGTCTAGAACTATTTATATGCTAAACCCCCCAACAAGCTCCCTTTACCCACTAGTGATGGCATTTCTCACTCTGCCTTCTTTAGATTTAAGTAGCTTCTATTTTATTTGGTTTTTTGCTCAAGTTTTCACACTCTCTTGATTCTGCATCTCCTAAATCTTAGAACTTCCCTGGAAAAGATAGAACTCTTTGTATGGCACAGGATGGGGATAAATTCAAATATAAAGCAGGGAAAAACCAATAACACTCACGTATGAAGAAATCACAATCATCGTCATCTTAATTTTATGTTTTCTTTTCCTAAAGGAGGTACTCAGAGGGAGGTTCTGCATCAGTTGCCTCCTTGTAGTAACATAGCACCTATAATTCATGCATTCAATTGGAGAATATGTCCTGTATGTCACACAGTGATAGACACTGAGCTACTTGAAGATGAAGAAGAAGGAGCAGGAGGAAGAGGAGAGCAACAAGAGTCAATATAAATACTTCTCTCAGAGAATTTATGGTAAATAATCAAAACCAATATGCCCAGCACATTAGCAATGCTTGAAAGTTACTTATAGAACTGATTGCACCCCCAGCTACTCATTTATATTTTGAAATTATTACCTACTGATTGTACAGCAAATTGACATTAAAAAAAAAAAAAATCACAAGTAACTTATAGTAAGGAACCCCGGTGGCACAATGGTTAAGTGCTCGGCTGCTAACCGAAAGGTTGGAGGTTCAAACTCACTAGACACTCTGCGGGAGAAAGATGTGGTAGTCTGCTTCCACAAAGATTACAGCCTTGGAAACCTGTTGGGGCACTTCTGCTCTGTCCCATAGTGTCACTATGAGGCGGAATCAACTTGATGGCAACGGGTTTTGTTTTGGTTTTAAACTTATCGTAGTTGTCCTCAACCTAGGTGTTATAATTGGTTGCAAGAGTTCTGAAAAGTAATTTATTAATACTACTACTACCTACCAAGACCAGTGGAAGTGATTCCAACCCATGGAGATCCTGTAATGTGTGTCAGAGTGCAACAGTGCTCCACAGGGTTTTCATTGGCTGCTTTTTCAGAAGTAGATTATCAAGCCTTCCTTCTGTGGACTTGAACCTCCAATCTTTTGGTTAGCAGCTGAGCATGTTAACCATCTGCTCCACCCAAGGATAATTTATTAATAATAATAGTTAAATTATCAAAGATTTTTAATTTTTAAAATGAATTTAAGTGGTCATTTCCGTAACAAGATCACTTTTACTTATTTGCTTATAATATACATACTTAGCTGAAAGAGAAAGGCACAGAATTAAAATCAGCGTGCTGCGAATTGTTCATAAAGCTGGATACATATATACAGTATGCCTTGCATGCGACCACCATTCCCAGATTTGTTCACGGTGGGAATAAAAAGCTGAGAACTGATGGTTTAATACAGGCTCCACATTTACTATTCCTTGTAGCAAACCCGCAAGAAAAAGCAATCCCAGAACGCCAAAGGAACTCTCCGGTATTCTCATCTTTGCTATTTATGTTTTTCCTCACATTTTCCTCTTCCCTTGATATCATTTTCATTCCTTTCACAAACTCCCTTTTTTTTCCCCCCCAAAATCCTTCATCCCCATTTTGAACTCTTATTTTTTCTCTTAATCTCCATCTTACAGCCCTTCATATTTCTCTCATCTTTGCCAGGCTTTCTCTGCTTCCTGCCCCACCTCCCACTCCAGCTCCTGTGATGCGAATGGAGGCAGCTAAAGGCGGCAGCTGTGGCTGAGAAAGCTGCTCAGGAAGGGGCAGAGTGAAATGAAGCTGATTAGCTGTACGCCTATATCACTCAGGAGAGCTTGCTAGCTTTAGCTTATGCTACACAGACATAGTTGGGGGAGGTGACACGGAATAGATTTAACCCAAAGGAGAATAAGAACATACTAACTGGTCAAGGCCCACGGAACCTCAGTTTCCTTGGAAAGAAACTCCTGGATGTGAAGAATTAAACTCATGGTTCTCTTCACCCAATATTGTACCTTCCTCCTGTATAATAATTGGAATGCCCTCTTCACTCTACCTTGTCAAAAGCTCTTCTTCTGCAATTCCTCAAAATCTCCTAGAACTACATTTCCTTAAGAAATTCTCCCTCAACTTTGAAGATGCAGAAGCCATCTGTCCTAATATTCAAACTTTTAATATTTTATTCCCCATTCTAAATATGCTTATACCTTGTCTTAAAGATAATATAATCATTTAAATAAAAATTAAATACTCTTACAACAAACCTCAAGGGAATGGACAAGTTATTTGATCCGATGAAAATTTTACATCTCAACTTCCTTTTTTTTTTTAAGCTTTCAAAATCTCTTTTACCTCACTAAATCTTTTCTTCAACCTCATGGATGCTACTGCTAGTCTCATCAACAATCTATTTTCCTGACCTCACCTCCTTCCGTACCCAAGCATGGCCCTGGGGGCTACCACTTAGATTATTGTTTCATCCAAATCAACTTTAAACTCTTCAATCCTGATCCTAACTAATAATCCTTCCCTCTCCATTCTCACTCCAGACCACTGAGCACTTCTGTTCCATTCAGAAAGGGAGATTACCTGGGAGTGATTTGGGGGTGCGGGGGGGGGTGGGGAGGAAGAAGTCATAATCATATACATATAGATTAATGAATTTATAGTGACTTAAATACCATGTGACCCTTTAGCACTGTCAGTTCTTTGCTTGCCAATGCTAATTTTAAATTCCCCAAGCAGCTATTTCAAAATTTCATCTTTCTCCTCAAGAACCCATCCACTTACTTTTCAGCAGATAATCATGTTTCACTCTTAGCATAGGTTTTCCAAAGGAAATATCCTCACCTTCTTACCTCTCTCCACAGAAATATATATTCATGCCCATCCTTATAACCATCTTTCCCCTCTCAGAGAAAGAGGCATATTTTCAAAGCTCTCCAGCCTTATTCTCTCAAATTTTCTTACCACTGATAGTTCCCTTAGCTATAAATATTCTAAAATTTTTCAAAAACAGTGGGTGAATCAATTAACCAAAACATTAATCCACCATTCCCCTTCACCCTTCGTCTTTTCTCCCCTCCCTTCCCAGTCAACTTTCTTGAAAAACTTACTACTTCCTTGAAAAACAAGCCATACTTGCTTACTCTCCTTCAGTTTCCAGCGCCTTACCATAACGCTTCAGACTCACAACACTTCACTAAAATTAAGCTGAAAATAGTCAATGTTTATTTTCATCTAGTAATATACGGACATAGGAGCCCTGGTGGCACAATGGTTAAGCGCACAGCTGCTAAACGAAAGGACAGTGGTTCAAACCCACCCACAGCTCCACAGGAGAAAAGGCCTGGCAATCTGTTTCCTTAACGACTGCAGCCAAAAAAATCTTATGGGGCAGTTCTACTCTGTCACATGGGGTCGCCATGATTCAGAACCGACTTGACAGCACACAACAACAATATACAGCCATAGCTGAAAACTCTAAATAGTGTTAAGACTTTTTCACTTGTCTTTAATTTGTACTCTTGGCTTTTAGAACTGTTTGCTCCATAATGTTTTTTCAGTCCATGGTATTATCTTGCCGCTATTTTAATCTACTCTGTGTCATCATTTTTCCAATGAGCATCCTCCATCTACCCTTTTTCTTCTATCTTTCTTCTTTTTACTTCTCCCTTTGTAGATTGTATATTGGTTCTTTTTGATTATCACTCATCTTTGACTAAGGTGATATTTTTCCTGACCAGTTATCCGTCAGCAGTTTGTACATGTGTTTGTTAGGGTTAAGGAGACCAAGGCCTTATGGCCAGCTAGTGAGAATTCTCATTATGATGTAGAGTTGGTTTGGACTGGTTCTCTGCAGCAAATCAGGATCAAACTCATAGGGATTGTTGAATCTTTCTCCTTCATCTAACCTCACTGTCAGAATGTTTCTTGCAAATATTGCTTGTTTGTATGATTTCTCATTCAGGCCAAACTGGGACCAAAAATGTTCCTTCTAGCAAATTTCATATGCACTGTTCCAAGCATGAGATTGTTAGTTTTCCCTCTATGTCCCACTTACTTGGCAGTACTCTACTCTGGTGCCTGAAATATTCAGCAGTCAAGAGGATTCTTTGTTGGTGTCTTCCGATATTCTTGTTCAATCTCTCTCAATGATGATAGTTTACAGTTAGAAAGGCCTTCTAGTTTTGTCAATAATGGAGTTTAAATTTTCAGTTTTTATTTTTCTCTTTTGGGTGAATTCTGAAAGGAGAATGGCAACACCATCATCTTAATTTCACCATTTATAAATGGAAATTCCCCAATAGCTATTTAATTGGCCTTTTTGAATCTAGCCTCACGTCCTCCAGTGTACGCTCCATATTGCTGCTGGAGTGAACTAGCAACACATCTGATTATTTCCCTCCCCATTCAAAATTCTTTTAGGGGCTACAAGCTCTGGTCTAAATTACCTTACATGGCATACTGAGCTCCTCGGGATGTGGTCTCTGTTTACCTAATTCCTCTTCTCCTTTTGGCCCAACGCCTTCTCGCTTATACTCTAGTTAGACTGATACACGGAAAGTCAGAGAACTGCAAATATTTTTCACAACTCCCCTATCTTTGCACATGGCTTTTCCTGTAAAATATTTTCCCCCCTTTGTGCTCACCTGGAAAACAACTATTTTGTCTCCAAAATCCACTTCAGATCAGATGTCCTACCTGTGTGAAGGGAGTTAATCACTCCCTTCTCTGCCTGTTCCTGGTACATGAAATCATCACACTCCATGATAATTACGTATGTGAAATTCTCGTTCCTTTAAAATTATACATCATTTATTTATTAGACACTCTCTCAGCCCATTCATTATTTCAAACATTTACTGAGTACCAACTCTGTTCCAGATACAGAAATACAAAGATAAATAAAAATGTGTCCTACCTCTAAAAGAAATAAGGCCAGTATTGTTATTTAGCTTCATATGGTTTTCTGCCATGTATTTCTAAGAATACTCCAAGCACCTTGGAGGCAAGAACCATGTCATATGCATTATTCTAGAATTTTTAGAGCTTAACAGAGAATCGTGCGTGTGGCAGGCATTTGATATTGCCACAGCCTACAAACTGGTCCTCTGTCTTCAGTTTTGGCCTGATTCCTATCCCCAGAATGTTCTTCACAGAAAAATTAGAATGATATTTCTAAAATACAAGGCCATCCAAGTCATTTCTTGGTTTAAAACATTCAATGACTCTTCCTGTCCTGTAGGACAAAGTCTGTCTTCCCCATTAAATTGTAAGCTCATCAATGACAGAGACTTCATCTTCTTGTAATCCCAGTGCTCAGCACAGAGCCTGGCACCCAAATATTTGATCAAAGATATATTTGCTGGATTTGTTCGAATACTAGTAGAAATTACTAGATGGGTCCTGGAATTTGACTATATGTTTTATTCAAGGACATTTTAATTTATCTGGAATTGGAGCAGTTAGGAAATGACATACATTTTATTGAGTTTATTCAGTTATATGTCACCAATATCCTGGGTACACAATTCTCATTTGTCCTAGTTAATAAATACCATGCCTCATTTACACAGTAATATATTCAAGTATCTAGCAACTATTTACCATGGTGTTACTGCCTAATTTTTACAAAATAGATCATTACAAAAGATAGAATTTCTAATGATATATTCCTTTTTTAAGCACCTTCTCAATTTTACGGTTCTTGAGGACTCATAAATATCTCACAAATAGCTAAGGACACACAGCTTTCTCTAAGGAGCTTAAAAGTAACTGTCATTCTTTATCAGACAAGGGTACTAAGACAGAGAGGTTTAGTGATATAACCAGGGTCACAAATATAGTCTTGAGGTACAGGTGATGGTGACATAAACAGAATCAGATAACGATTCACAAAACACAGCAAGGAAGGCCGGGAATACCAAGCAGGGAATAACGATAGAAGTACTGGACAGTTAATTCTACAAACCAGCATGGCTCATCCTAAACCATAAAATCCCTGACCCCAAGAAACAAAGACAAAAGCAGGAATAAGAGAAAGAAAAATCTGAAACCGCAGGTAAGTAACTCTCGTCTCTCCAAGGCTTTAAAATAAGAAGAATACTATATACGAAAACCAAAGACCATGCTCCTGACAGTCCTTCCCAATAGACAATGCTCATGAGGAGTCGGCACTTCTATTTTCTCAAAGCAATCAATATCACATAAGTCTAAAGTACTCCATGTAGCCCTATCTGATTAACAGACTCTTCCGCATTTTTGCTTCTGATTGCTGAAGCTATGGCCTGGTAGCCCACCTCACAGTCTATTAACAGAATGTTACTGATGTAATTTTTTCAATGACATGATCTCACACCCCTTATTCAGTATTTGCATTCTTTTCCCTCCCTATTATAGAGTGTCCACAAGCGGCATTTCTTTCCCTAAGGTGGATTTAGGTTTCTGAATTCTCCTTATCCTCTGTTCCTCTTGGGCCTAATCAGCTGCTCAAAGTCACAGCCTTGAAGGCCACCCCCTGGGGAGGAGGTGCTTGTGCCCAGTCAATTCCCCCATTTTAAAGGAGGAAATTTTAAAAAATCTGCATTGTTAAGGTGCTTATGCTGAATTTATGAAAAAAGGAGAGCAATGTTAAAGATCAACGAGTTTTTAAAAATATTTTTATGTTTCTACTGCTGAAAATCTACACAGTTAAACATACACCAATTCAACGTCTAAATGTACAATTCTGTAACACTGATTACGTTCTTCCAGTTGTGCAACCATTCTCACCCTCCTTTTCCCAATTGTTCCTCCCCCATTAACATAAACTTACTACCTCCCAAGCTTCCTATCTAACCTTTCAAGTTGCTGTTGTTAATTTGATCCCATACAGACAGTTCTTTAAAGGAACACAATGCTCAAGCCAGACATTCTTTATTAAGTTAAACTATTGTTTGGTTTAAAGAAGACTTTAAGGGATATTTTTGGTTTAAGCTTTAAAGATTATCTCAGGGCAATTGTTTCAGGGGTTCCTCCAACCTCACTGGCTCCAGAAATTATGGATTCCAAGAGAATTTGAAATTCTGTTCCACATCCCCCACCCCTTGATCAGGATTCTGCTACAGAAAAAAGGTCATTGAGTTTTAAAAGCAGCTCTCTCTAAACTGGCAATCAATAAAATTGTCTTTTTAATTATTTCTTATAGAAACAGAGAATAAATAAAAAGAAACAGTACTTACAAATAGAGTCCAAGCCAGGAATACAAAAAAAGAGAGGTGTTTCTATTTCAGCTCTAACAATTCTTCTTCCTGAAGGATAATGTATAGGAAGAAACTGATGGACCGCTCTTTCCCTCTAGCTATGCCATGCCCAATATCCAGTCAGTAGAAATATGTATTTCTCTGAGTGGTGTTTGTAAGTTGAGATTTCAGGAAGAGAGGAGTTGTGAATGACAGATCAATGCAGGAGAATAACATGTATTTCATATGGAGACTAACAACAAGATTCTAGCAACAACACTCATGCTACTGTAAGCTATTCCATCATGTGTACATTCCGTGGCTTGAGCTAAGTGACTCCTACTCTTAGGGGGAAAAAAAAAACTTTCCATCAATTCTGACTCATCACAATGCTACTCCTAGGGACCCTTACTTTTAGACCCTCTTGTCTTCAGAAAGTAATCCCTGCCTATCTCCTTTCAAAACCATTTCTCCTTTCATTAATCATTTAGCTCTTTCTGTTTCATAACCATCTAAATATTTCAACCAGCCCAAGCTCTTAATTTTAGTCATTGAGTCATCTGTGCATTCTATCAATCTATGAACTCCTCAAGATGTGCCTCTAAAATGGGGTCAGTAACCATTCAAAACTGTCAGGCCAATCTTCAGACTCCCATCGTTCTGTCTTTGGAGCAGGATGTGGTCAGGCTTTCAAGAGGGCTAATGGGGGGGGTAGAGGCAGGTAACAGAAAGACCAGCCATCTCTCTAACAGAAAACACCATGGCTAATGCACTTTGGTTTGAGGAGGCTTACCAAGAATGTCTCCCCTACTCTTCCTAAAATCCCCTTCACATTGTCACACAGCTTGAGACTCTCCAAATTAGATTCACTTGGGTTAGTATCATTTGCTTTTAAAATATAAACACTCCCAGGAGGCTCATTCAATTGCTTTATTTCTAAGCTCATACTGGGATCGACCTTCTCAGATAAAACATGAATTTTGATGTGGAAAGAAGAGAATGGATTTTGCAGCAAGCAAGACCTCATTGTAGACTTTTAATAAAATCAGGGCTTTAGACAACCAGAGGTCAGCAACAGGGCAATGGGATCAGGAGCTGGGGGTGAGGAACAAGAAAGACTGGCCATATTATGTACCCAGATTAGCTCATTAACCCCACACAACACTGTAAGGTGTATAGTTCTGTTACATACGTTTTTTTCACAAGTGAAGAAATAGAACCCAGAGAGGTTGTCATTTTTCCCAAATCTGCTAGTGATAAATGGTCCTGCCTGCAGGGATTAGGATTCAGGAGTGACTGGTTCCTTACCTATAATCCTGCATTGTCTGCAACCAGTAAGTGGGGAGGGAAGGCATTACTCTGGAACCAGGACAGGAGCAGTGCCACCAAGGTTGAGTTCTCACTCACATTTTCCCCTCTGCCATGGGTAGCTCAATGCTAATCTCAGCTATCTTCTCTTCAGTTACTTTCTAAAACCCAAAGAACAGAAAACTTGGAAAAAAGGTCACATATCTTTTTAAGATCTTACTCTGATAGAATATAAATGATTTAGCATAAGCAAATAAGATTTTGAAGATTTGGGGTTGCAGTTTCTTTTGGTCCCTCACTCATCTCCTGCTGCATGGAGGTTAAGAGTGCAGGCTCTGGAACTAGACTGCTGAATACAAATGCCAGCTCTCTCATTCACTAGCTGTGTGACCTTGGGTAAGATCCTCAGCCTCTCCAGGACTCAGTTTCCTTAATGGAAAAATGGGGATGATAAAAATGTCTCTCTCTCAGGGTGGAGGTGATGATCCAATGAGATTATGCATGTTAGGTGCTGCTGATATAGAGTGGAGCCCTGGTGGTGCAATGGTTAAGAGCTCAGGTTGCCAACCAAAAGGTCAGTAGTTTGAACCTACCAGCCACTCCTTGGAAACCATATGGGGCACTTCTACTCTGCCCTATATATAGTGTCGCTATGAGTCAGAATCGACTCAATGGCAATGTTTTTTTTTTTTAACAGATTGCTTGGGAGTCCCTGGGTAGTGCAAAACAGTTAACAGGCTCCACGACTAATGAGAAAGTTGGAGGTTCAAGTCCACCCAGAGATGCCTCAGAAGAAAGGCCTGGCAATCTACTTCCAAAAAATTAGTCAATGAATACACCATTCTACTCTGACACTCATGTGGTCACCATGAATCAAAATTAACTCGATGGCAATAGGTTATACTATAGATTGCTTTATATGAAAACTGTTTTTAGTTCTTCAGGTATTTTTAGGCTCAAAAAAGTTAGAATAATTTGTCTTCATATATGAATATAGAATATGTTTTTGTCAATTTCACAAAAATACTTTACCTGTTTATTTAATGTAATAATAAATGAACCAGAAGTTTAGAGACAAAGGGAAATTATGTCTTTTAGCAAAGATTTCTTTTTTCCCGAAGAGTTAAGAATTAAATGGTGTAGGCTGTAATATTTTAAAGTAGGTACTTTTTCAAATATAGAAATACTCTTAGGATTATAGAGAACTGTGGTCTAAGAGACTAAGTACTTCAGTTTGGGCTTACATTGTCCAAACTCAGTAAATCTCAACATTAAAGAGTGCTATATAAATTAATCTTGATTGATCTACAAAGGTATTCTGCAATTTATGTCACTTCTACAAATCAGGTCCATTCTTTAACATTATTCCATTAAGCTTTAGTATGTAGTTTAAGGTTTTTCTTCCAAGTGTAAAATATGCACTAAGAAATAACATGCTTAAAGCAGCATTTTTGATCTGGCAGTCTTCAATTTTGCAATCAAGAATGTGTTCAACAAGCCAGAAATGTACAATTCCCTAAGCAGGTGAAAAAATGTGATTGTGAGGGCTGAGATGACAGTTTTCATACTCTTTTCAATACATGCCCTCTGCATCTGCTCTATATCTGGGAATATGTTTTTACATTTAATTCTAAGGAAAATTAAACAAGTGTTTCTACCTTTGGTTTCCCAGCTATCATAAAATATATAAAAGAGAATATGGATAATTACAGGCCAAAGAGATACACTTATCTGAGTGGAAAGTACTAAGATTTCAAGGCTGGAAATGACCCTAGACTGCTTTTATCATCCTTACAAGTATCTCTTAAAAAGTGATAAAATCACTGTCCATCACAGGCAAGTAGTAGAATCTTGTGTTTCTGCCTATTGTGAAAAAATGTGTTCATTTACAACTCGCAGATAAATTTTTGCAATACTCTGAAGTCTCCTTTCCAATAAAAGCAGCCAAAAATGAAAGACCTTTTAGTTGGCACTGTGAATTATGCCTAGAATTTACCTGGATTCCAGTTAAAACTCTAATCAGCTGAAAGATATGATCCGATTTGTGATTGTTAAGGTTGTGTTTCAACTTGGCTGAGCCATGATTCTCAGTGGTTTGGCAGTTATGATGTAGTTTGGCAACTGTATAATAATGTGATCACCTTCATGATGGGATCTGCTGTGAGTAGCCAGTCAGCTGAGAGGGAGTTTCCTTGAGGGTACAGCCTGCATCCAATATAGGTGGACTTTCTGGCAAGACTTGCAGGCTTTTGCTCACTCTGGATTCTGCAGCTGGCTCCTGTTCATCTGACCTCCAGTTCTTAGGACCTAAGCTAGCAGCTTGCCTGCCAATCTCGGGATTTGTCAGCCTCCAACCTGACCCACAGACTTGGGACTTTTCATCCTCTACAACTGCATAAGCCATTTCCTTGTTATAAATCTCTTTCTCTCTCTATATATATATATATATACGTATGTATATGTATATATGCATCCAAAAAACAAAAAAAAAAAAACCAAACCCATTGCAGTCGAGTCAGTTCTGACTCATAGTAACCCTATAGGACAGAGTAGAACTGTCCCATAGGAGCAGCTGGTGGATTTGAACTGCTGACCTTTTGGTTAGCAGCTGCAGCTCTTAACTACAGGGTTTCCAATATATACATATATATGTACACACACACACACATATAGACACTTCACTGGTTTTGCTTCTCTAGAGGACCCAGCCTAAGACACCATTACAAGGTGTCTCACTTTTAAAGGCTACTCTTTAGCAACATTATCATATACATAAAGAAACAGACCTATTGGTTGCTGTGTGATGATGATTCAAAGTATTTAACAGCTCACAGTTGTGTTCACTACCCACGCATTTGTTTATTGTAATAAATCCTTTGGAATTATAGTTGGTAAAGGCAACTGAGTAAAAGTGCTCCTACTAATCTATTCTAGTAAAATACCTCAGAAGGGCAAAATTTAACTAGAAAACAAGCCATATTCTTAATGATATTCATTCAAAAAAAGCCTGGTGGGGCAGTAGTTAAAAGCACCTGGCTGCTAATCAAAATGTTGACAGTTCGAACACACCAGTTGCTGTGCAGGAGAGAGACGTGGCAGTCTGCTTCAGTAAAGATTACAGTCTTGGAAACACTTTGGGGCACCTCTGCTTTGTCCCATGAATCGGAATCGACTCGACACAGCGCGTTTATGGTTTTCTGTAAAGGACATGATTAGCACAATTGGCAAAACTTGGATGGGGTCTGAGCACTAGGTGTTAATAATGTGCTAATCTTAACTTCCTGACTTTGATAATTACTTTGTGGTTATATAAAATAATGTCCTTCTTTATAGGAAATACATACTAAAGTCTTTGGGCATGCATTGCTCTATGTTAGGAGGGGGATATAGTTTAATTCCTGCCATTTGTTAAATCTTAAATTCTACTTTCTACTATGTTCTTCTTACATATTGAATTTTCTTTATGTCCAACGAAGTCCTATCATAGATTTATTATGGAAAATATATTTCTACACAAGACATTGTTCAGCAATCATTTCTCATCAATAATATTCTTCCTTCACGGTCTCTTTCCTGAGGAAGGTTTGCCCCTTATGGGGAAAAATTAAAATAATATAAAATACAGTATTTTAAGATTTTGGACAAGAGCTCTCTTTTGGTTTTTCTCCTACGCCCTTGATCAACCTTCGTCAAAATTATCATCATACTGACCAGATAGAACAAGTCTATCACTGAGCTTTTATTAAATCAAGGAGGAGCCCTAGTGGCGCAGCAGTTAAGCATTGGGCTGCTAACAGAAAGGTTGGTGGTTCAAACCCATCCACTGCTCTGCAGGAGAAAGATATGGTGGTCTACTTCCATAAAGGTTACAGCCTTGGAAATCCTATGGGGCAGTTCTACTCTATCCTATAGGGTTGCTATGAGTTGGAATCAACTCGGCAACAATGGGTGGGTGGGTAGGATTAAGTCAAGAGTTACTCTAGCCCACTGCTGTGCCACTCTGCTATAAATTGAACTAAATGAGACAGTGAAAACACTCTGATTTGAATTCTGGCTCTTCTGTGCAGCATTGTGCAAAACACGTAATAACCCTGAACCTCCTTCTTTGGTAAATGACCAGAATGACATCTAGCTCAAAGAGTTGTGGTGAGAACTGAATGAAATAATGTACCTTCAAAACACACAAACAAACAGGTATGTATCAGAGAGTCCTGGACAGAATGGGAGAAAAATGTAGAACAGAATTCAAATTCACAAAAAAAACAAAAAAAAAAAAAACCCAGACTTACTGGTCTGACAGAGACTGCAGAAATCCCAAGACTATGGCCCCCAAACACTCTGCTAACTCAGAACTGAAACCACTCCCGAAGCCCACTTCTCAGACAAAGATTAGACATGCCTAAAAGACAAACAATAACACATGAGGAACGTGCTTCTTAGTTCAATTAAATATATGAGACCAAATGGGCAACTCCTGCCCAAATGCAAGACGAGAAGGCAGGAAGGGACAGGAACTGGGTGAATGGACTCAGGGAACCAGGGGCTGAAAGGGGGAACATGCTGTCATATTGTCAGGATTGCAACCAATGTCACAAAACTATATGTATATAAATTTTTTAATGAGAAATTAGCTTGAGCTGTAAACTTTCACCTAAAGCACAATAAAATATACAAAAAAAAAAAAAGAATACTCACCTGGTTGAATCAATAGCCCTCACTTCTCTACAGTACTACCCCCTTTCCAGTTCTTCCGCAGGAGTTTCCAGCCCCCTCCCTTGTGTCTAACTACCTTTGCTTTTTCTAGACACTCTACGCATTAAACTTACCCATCACAGGGACTGGGTGGCCTGCTGAAGGCTCTAATTACACATGCGACTCTCCCAAGGGCAAATTCTCTTCCTCCTCCAAAAGCCACCTCACATTCTAGTTTATAGGAATCTTCTCTGACCACCCACCATCCCTCATCCCAGCCAGCAAAACCATTTCTCCTCCTAGGAACTCCCCCCATCTTGCATCTGCCTTTCATTATCCACATCGATTCTTCCTTCCATCCATGACTGTTTGCTGGGTTTTCTCCTCTTCTGTAATTTTCTAGAGAGTAGAGATCACACCCTGTAATCTGAATGCACAGCACAGTTTCTGGCACACAGCAGATACTCAA